TGACATATACCATACATCAATTAATTACTTTATACAATTAGAAATGGTTAATAAAAATGTGCTGCCATTTTCGTTTCTGATACCAATCATTTGATTTAAACATATTTTATTCATTGAAGAAAGGATTGTGCACAAGTTATCCAAGTTAATGAAGCCCTGTCCCAATACTTACAACAATTATATTTACATGACTTAAATCAAATATGCAAAAACCTATCACAAGTAGTTGTTGTTTTTTGGTAAAAATGTGTTGGCATTCTTGAACATTTTTCAGCCCATTGATGCTGAATTATTTTTCAGATACCAGAAATAGAAATACTTTTTTCTAAGTGTGCCTTAGGACGAGACAAATATTTTAGGTGTGCTTTTCAGAAATCAAGTGTGCCCACATGTTTTTAGAATAATGACAATGACGATGATCATTTGAAATTTATTGTTAAATAAAGAAATGGGTTTATGAGCATTCAAATATGTATGACATTATTCAATTTGGAAAAAGAGAAATGTTTTGGGGATTAATTGACTACCGTGAAATGTGAATTGTGTATCTAAAAATTAGGAGTGTCATAAGGGAACCGAACACGCTTTTCATCCGTGCCATTTCAAAATTTACCGTGCAATGGCACGCTAATATATGGGGTATTTCGAACCCTGGATACTATAGCTGTAACGATTCACTCGCAGATATTCGTGAATCGAACGTAGTCTTCATGAATTCAATTCAAGTATTCGTGGCCACCAGAACCGAATATTAACGAATATTTACGTTTTTTAAGGGAGCATGTTTTACTTGAACCCTTGTGTACTTTTTTAAAGTGAGATATGCAGTATGGAATATGTACTAGCCTTGCAGTAGCCCAAGTCATGTTAGTTTGCCAAGGCCACACATGGTACTGTCAAGTATAACTATTACATACCAAATTTGAGTGTCATGAGATGACTGGTTATTGCTGTGCCAGATCAAAACTGTCAACATGGGCGTTCCATATTGTACATCAATCACTTAACTACAATATTGTATTAGTGAATAATTATTCAGATTCGCTTACCCAACAGTCATGATAATGTATCATACAGTGTTCACGAATAGTGTCTGACCCTCTGACAAATCTGGCAGATTCCGACACGGTCTGATAGAAATCTACAACCTGCTGGCCCCAGTGTCTGATTGTATGTTTCACAAATGACTTTGACTGAAGTTGTTGTATGTCACATGTCACATGTGACGCTTGTTTGCTGTTTATAAATCTTATGTTTGTTAGTAATTTTAAATGCCAATTATAAGAAATTTTAAATCTGAAATGTGTGTTTAATTTTATTCTATGGGTCCTGTGAATTTTCAATGGGTCAGACAGACATCTGAAACTTACAGGACCCAATGTCCTATTACTTTGAAACACCATTCGTGGAACACTGATCATATTCACCACATAGTGTATTCGTTGCAGCCCTACTGGATACACATTTTCATTTGAACTAACAAGTGAACTATGTGAGAAAGGTAAGCTTGAACATCATTGGAACTACCTCTAACAAGAAACATGATAAAAGCATCAGGAGATGAAGAATAAACTTCATTATACTGATGGTGCACAATAAATGCAAAACATGAAACTAGTTGTAGAGAAAGCGCTACTAAGCATTAGGGTTGGGTATTGCCAAAATTTTCATATTGCAATATATCGTGATACATGTTGGCGTATTTCAATATGTATTGCAATATATTGTGAAAGTGTAACACATGGTTAAGGTAATGATATTACTGTTTCCTTTCTTTTGAAACAATGCCACTGGCCACTGTATTTTTATGGTTTAAAAGTCACGCAAATGCAATTATCTGACCAATAAATTATTCTCAAATTCTCAAAACTATTAATGTATAATAATATAAATGATATACAAATGTTAATCATATTTTGTACCACATCACGAAAATTACCAATCATGGTCACTGAAATTGACGATCGTATCGGGTGAACCGGTTCATGAACAGTGTACCACAATATATCTTATTGTGAAGTTTTAATTGCAATATACTGGTTAAAGGTCACATGCAACCAAAAATCAAACATAATTAAAACACAATTATCACTTATTCATGACATATAATATACATTGCTGGTTATGAAAAACATATAAACAAAATTATAAGGGTACAATCGCAAATCAAAAGTGCAATATTTTGTATTTGGGTTTACTTCCCAAGAAACGAAGCAGCCGGGATACCGAACCCAGTCAGAGCGGGTGGGTGTGCACTCAAGTGTAACGGCTGGTTCATTTGCAGATGCCCTCACGGCTCATTGTGTGTGTATATATAGAGATGTTGGGTTTTGTAAATACATGCTCATTTTTGTGTGTATAACATGTTACAATCAACAGACATCATAACATGTCATGTGTTCAAGTATCACACCTGCCTGTCTGTGTAATTACATAATGTGACAGAGACCGAACTCGGGCCATAAATCAATGCATTTTGTTTCTGGTGTATAGCCTGATTGGTGTTAAGTTCAAATTGCATGTGGTCAGTGATAGCAGCTGTGTATTGAATATCGTCATTAGCAGACAGGCAGGGAGACACACAGGTGTCAATAAAACAGACATTGAGTTTTGTCTGTGACAACGACATATCTATATCACAGTTAGAAATTCTGTCAACGCTAAATAATGACATTGCTTTTAAGCATCGAACTGAGAAAGTGACTCGGTAAGAAGAACGTGTGGTGAAATAGACAAAATGAAATTATATACACAGTTAATTTACTGTCATAACATACAAAAAGTTTCATACTTGTGAGATATCAACAAAACATTAGAAAAATAGCTCACACCAAATCCTTCACCGAGTATTCACCGGACAACCCGCTTCCAAGCTGCTTAACTTATTTCACTGCACACGCCCCATGAGCTTGTTTCCAGCTGTTGAAACCAGTTATTTTTTAAGTTGAATTTGCATTTTGACGATTTGTGTCGTTAAGTCCATACTGAAAGGTATCAGAATCTGCAAAGTTGTGTTTTACGTTGCATGTGACCTTTAACCAATATTATCGCCCACCCCTACTGAGCTTGATAAGTCCAAGATTTTTTTAAAGACGACAATTTTCTCTACTTTAATGGTTCACCAATATATGTACTGTGAGGTGTTTTTCTTTTTTAAATGGTTCTATGGAAACTGTGAGTTAACAAAATACTGCCTCATATCTGCAGGATATACATTTATTTATCATACAATGGATATGTATCCATTTTCTGTCAGCTACACTTCATTTCGAGGCGTGAGTAGACGCAATATGATAGTGATTGCTGTGAATAATGCGGGCCAAAGTATCGGGGGGACACATGATTTCACCGCAGTTAATTTAGAGATATTATAACATTCTCGAATGGCACTTTAGTAATATTAAACTAGATTGCAGTCCAGATATGTAGGAAAAATGTTTTATTCCTCCATAGCATAACAACAATTAACTTTTTTAATTCAATATGGAAGTGTTCCCACACTCTATTTCCAATGACTGATAATGATGAGAAAATGAATGAAAGTTGGTGGGTTGGTTTATGTACGGAACATACCATTTTGATGATGATTTGAATTTCGGAAGCCCCTACCGACATACCACAGGCGAGTGCCAAAACACCTTATCGAATACCTACGATTGCTATTGTAGAAATACAGGTCCATTTGTTTTATAATTAAAAATAACACTATCTGTTAAAATTCGGAGCTTTATCACAGTAAATCAGAGGTTGGATTTAGGGATAAAAATTCGGAGTAACTCCGCCTGAATTAGAGTGGATGGCACCTCTGTATCCCATTTGCATAGATCGATGCTCATGATGTTGATCGCTGGATTGTCTGGTCCAGACTCGATTATTCACAGACCACAGCCATATAGCTGGTATATTGTTGAGTGTGGCATTAAACAACAAAACTACACAACAACAAATACACAGATAGCTCCTCTTGTATGGAATTATAATTATTTGTATTGGTTCAACCAAGAGGATACATGATGGCATAGTTTATATTTTAAATAGTTTTTCGAGAGATGAAGTAAACACTTGAAAATATCCTGTGATCACTGACCACAATACTTAAAATAGGATGAAACAACTGATCACATCATGAAACACGATAGGAGAAATGTGGAACTTGTTTCTGATTACTGTCTAGCTGTACATCAATTTCATTTCCAAACTGAGACCTTTGGGTTCTGTAAGTTGCGAATGCAAACCAAATGTGGATCCATATTCAGTGATTTTGCTCATAATTCTTGATAACATTTGCAAGTTGCATATGCATTTAAGAAAACACGTGTGAGTGAGTTTAGTTTTACGCCGCACTCAGCAATACTCCAGCTATATGGCGGCTGTCTGTAAATAATCGAGTCTGGACCAGAAGAAAACATGCTGAAATTAAACTAAAAATATAACTTCTTTCCGATTAAATCTAACGTTTAACATTTACCTTGCTTCATCATAAAGATATACAAACTAACCAAAGTTAAGACTACAATCTGATATTGTTCTATATTTCCCAGAATTTCACATGCTCAAAGCATGACAAAGTCAGTCAGCATGGTCCCTCTTGTTTAAGTTGAGATACTAGTAACTGATTTCTAAGGACATTTTCATTTTCTACATTCAACTGACATACAGCATGTGAGACAGTGATAAATCATATTTGACATTCTGTTTCTAAGACGTGAAATAATTTTGAAAAAATCATAATTTGAAACTTCTTATTCTATTAGAATATTTGAATAAAAATTGAAATAATTTTTGATAATATTTTCACACGGTTGACATTAGATGGACCAGGGGCACCTAATGCGACCTAAAGGGCGAGCTATCTCAATCTAAGATTTGTTCGACAATGAGATATGAAATCACTCAGCAGTCAACTCACTCATAATACCTTCTTCAACACAGATCACGACGATGATGGGACAAAATTTCACTCATAATTTACAACAAGAAACTGTAGAAATATTGCTTACATTGTATCCAGCAATTTCATATTTCCCTCCAAGTACGGGCCGGTTTTTCTTTGACTTCCATGATCGCTTTGACCAGCATCGGTCATGTAGGAAAGGGCGTCAGATGCCGCGCTCATCGGGCGTTGAAGTCTTTCACTCATCATCTTGGAAATGGAAATGATAAACTCAGTAACCTCAGCTAGAAATAAAACAAGGAAACGGAACGTTCCTATCGATCCGTGTCGTCACCTTGCCTCCATGTAAACTATCTGCGTCAGTGCGCATACTCCGCAGTAACAGGTTATTGCGAAACCTGGTTGGACATAATAATTTCGTGCTATGATTATGATTCTTAGAAAGTAATTGTATTGTTAATCAACGATATAGCATTCAATTTTTCCATATTTTTCTTCTTGCACCTATTTTTCGAATTAAAAAATAATATAAATAAACGCTAATGTTGACACTAAAATGTAAAATTCAATAACGTTGTGATAAAACGAAACAGAGTATTACCCTATCTTGAAGTTTGAGCCGTAGTACGTAGATAGGAGTGAATGCGTGAGTGAATATTGCTTAAGGCCGCATCAACAATTTTTTAGCTATTCGCTACGAGAGTAACAGTAAATGGTATTCTGCTTTTGTATAATTCAGCTAATACACGGAGATAATACGTCTTTTCCAACATCTGTAACGTGACAGAAAGCCGAAATGTTCTTGTTATTTAGGGACCGTCCATAATGTATGGCCAGGGGGTGATGATGATTTTTATGGATAAGCATGTACAATGTGAATGACCCCCAAAGTATATGACACCCCCCTGCATGTCATGTACAAAATCAATGACCCCCACCCTTCCAATATTTTTAAGCATAAATTTTAAATATTTTTTATGTACAAAATTGCTGACACCCCCATGTGTACCCAACTGCTGACCCCCATCTCCCCATTTTTAACAAAATGGGTGACCCACTTAAAATCATCAAAACAACAACCCCTACCCAAACACACACACACACACACACACACATCATACACCCCTAGTCATAAAATATGAACGGTCCCCTAGTGTCCATCTGTCTAGATTGCTATAACTGCCCCATGCCAAAGCAGCACCAACCAATGCACAACATCGGCACATACACACAAGGAAGGGAAAACGTTTGATAAATACGATAGATCTAGAGTCTGATCAATAGAACGTTTTGTTTCACTGGGCAGTATGCAACTTATTATGACGCCATTTCTACAGGTAAAATGACATTTGATAAAATTGCCCAAGTGAATCATACTTTATATATACCAGCAGACAACGAAAAGGCACATATATCAGGAATAACGTGAATTATGGACAATAAATAATATATTTAAGTTATAATTTTCAATCATAAATATTGTTGTTAAATATAAATTAACTGTGCACTGTTCAAAATATAATACTGTACGATGAAAGTTGGGATAAGTTTCGTATATAAACTTTACTGATGAAGACGCAGTGCAGAATATCAAACCTTCTTCTCTCTTTCCTTTCCGCCTATTTTACACGTTGAAAATGTGATTGCTATTCATGATGAATGTATTTTCGTTTCGGAGTCAACTTCCAAATTATGTATAACCCCTTTGCTGCGAAGCTTCAATATGTCTGCGCCCATATGGTGCATTATTGACATCAGTTTAGCAAGAATCCTAACCTGAATCAAGTTGATTTGTTGGCTGTCATACATGTATGTCGGGCTGCTTTTATCTGATCTGAGGAAACATAACCGGCGGGTTAGATATTGTTGAGGAAAGAGGAGTAAAGTCGAGCGAGGGGCAATGTCCGGTATGAGCGCAAGCGGCCGGCGTGTTGTTGTGACAGGAGTGGGGTTGGTGACATCGTTAGGTGTTGGGGCGAAGCACGTCTGGCGGAGACTAACAAATGGAGAATGTGGGATCAGTAAACTGACAGGCTCAGGTAAGATAGACAGCGTTGATGCTGCTAGATGTGTTAGTTCTGATCGGGGGTAGAATGCAGTTTCCCAGGTAGCATGCCATCATCGGCCCGACGTCGGCTGATAGTCGGCACCGTCGGCTAAAATCGGCATCGTTGAACAGCGCTGGGCCGACAGCGGGCCAATGTAACCCAGATAACACATAACATTTTCCAAACATGTTCATAAAGTTTCAAACTGATTTAACAAAAATATTTTCGTCAAAACACAGTCACAATCTTAAAACAATTCTCTCAACTATTTAAAAGCATTAATTATTCATTTAATTATTAAAAGTTGTTCATGAAGAAAGAAATGTTACCGCGGGAAAGGACGTCGGAATGACGTCACACCGTCACGTCATATTTTCGCACCCGCCATCTTAGTTGAAGTTTGTTGAGGACGGTACAACAATGTCATTGTGCAGCAACAAATGGAACAGTATCATCGATCTGACCTCGGTTGCGGTAAGTTAACTTTACAGTCACTACACGGTTGTTGTTATGTTTATGTACATTTTGATATTCACTCGATCGTGCTACTCAGAAATCGCGATGTTTTGAGCAGCCGTACACGATCTGTTAGATTCGGTGTTGTTAGGCTTCCAACAGAAAGTATTATGTATGTTGTTGTGAAGGGGACCTAAGGGAGTTTGCACCATATTAATTTTATGTTGGATACAAAATTTTATTCAGCTATCAATGGCAAGCAGTATGTTCTTAACCAGAGTTCATGTCAGGTGGACATTTGTTGCTATTATGTTCGGTTTTCGATCTAGTAAGCGTATGCACAGCTCACAAGCCAGTGACACTTATTATCGGCATTAATTTTGTTCCATGTTATTTCTGAAATAAATATTTTTTAATTTAACATTACACCTTACTATCAAATTTCTAAGCTATGAACAGTTTGCTCACTTCAGTCGGTGGGAAAAGTTGCATCAAACTTATAACACGAAAATGGGGAATCAAATACTTTCTGGTCCACCTGACTGTAGGCTATTAGTTACTGTCATAGTCTAAGTATCCCGTTATTTAAAATGAATGTTCAGTCAGAAATGACCGAAGCATACTTGGTAAGTTACTGTAACACTGACTAAACTAAATGTTGATCATCCCCATGGTTGTTGCGGTTTTGCTTGTCTAACATTCCCACATTATTTTCAGTAAAATACTAGGTCTACATTATCAAAGTAAAGTGTTTACATTGTGTATTCTTCAATTTTCCCCAAACGAATCAGTTTATCATTTTCGGACATTTATATTTCTCTTCTAAACGAGAGCCAGAAATAAATATGTTTCCCGCGCTATAACGGGGCGTTGGCGATGACCGGTCCTCGGCAATGTTCATTCGGTTTTCGATCACCATGGTTTTTTCATGATACAGTATTAATTATTCAAATTTACTTAGTCTTTGTTCAGGATATGTAGACCAAATAAATTTATTATGGTTTACTTGGTTCACCGAAACATTTTGCCAATGAGAAAAAAAAAAAAAAATATAGTGATCGAAAACTGAACGAATCTGGTTACAATGCTCGCAACGAAATCATACTGCAGCAGTAACTGTCCCGCATGTAAGACGTGAATCATGTAGCTAGTTACAATAGCTATTTAAGTTATCAATTCAAGTTTGTATTCAAGGTTAGAATGTATAGAAGCGCTGTCCAGTAATCCATGTCTGTTGTAAAGGGGCAGAGTTATTTCCAACCCAAATTTATACACGTTGGTGTTAAATCTACACACGTTGACCCCCAAAAACTTTAGGCTATAATTATTACACAATATATTTCAGCATCGGACTAACTAGATTTATATCAGGCCTACCATACAAACGGCGAACAAATCATCAAAACTGATCATCAAAACTTCAGTTTTGATGATTTGTTCGCCGTTTGTATGGTAGGCCTGCATGTATGCTTGGGGAATCTAGTTCAAGTTGTAACTTGTTATAATGTGGAACATTGTTATTTTTGTTGCAGCAAGGGCGAATATGAGACACAAGAATTCCGGCAGATGCACAGAAGTGATGGATTTATTGAGGATTACATCAGATAATCCAGGAACTGTGAATCAGTAAACGTAAGTGCATCTGTTAAATGTCATTGTCTATATACTTGTTGGTGACGTTTTGGCTTTTATTGCCAAAATGGATTTGTACCTGCACTCAGCCTCTGACCAACAAGAGTGGTGGGGTAGTGGTTGCTATGCAGTGTGATTTGATAATATTATATATATATATTCAAGGATTTCCATTATTTTCCATTGTGTACTGGTGTCCATCAAACACTTGCATATACATAGGTGCTGGAAGACTTCATTAACTGATTATTGTCTCTTGATTTGACTTAATACACATACTATACATTTGTTTTCTATATTTCAGAAAAATGGATAAAGTCGAAAACCAAAGAAGAAGATTCTGAAATAATCTCGAAAAGTGTACGCTTTTCTGAAAGAAATTAATAAAGAGTGTTGATTACATGTCTGCCATTCTGTTTTTATGTTCCTTGTTAAGAGTAACAATGTCTATTTTCGATAGACATGTAACCTTATTGTTAACGGTTAGTGTTTTACTGAAAAGTTAAATCCATATCTTGACAGAAAATGTTATTACAACGCTTCCTGAACCATAAACATTCTCATGGATAAAGGTTTTCAGAAGCCTTTTGGTGGTTACTGAATTTTATAACCAAACGTTCATAGAACACACTGTTTCTGGAACCATACAAATTCATATGAATAAATTGTTTTAAAAATATGATATGTTTAGGGATGTTTCTTCACATTTATATATATGTTTTGGTACACGCTTAAGATAGTATTCATTTATGAATTGTGGTACGTGCTATCAAATATGTATTCACGGTTGAGAAGTGAAGTGAGCAACTAAACTAACGGGTAAAAGAAAAACGATGATAAGTCGAAATCATTGATATTACAAAGCGACAAACCACCATTGTGTAAAAATGGAAAGTGAATTTTAATATCAGGTGTATGGGCATGTGTATGTACATGCATGTTGCCCATACACCTGATATTAAAATTCACTTTCCTTTACACAATGGTGGTTTGTCGCTTTGTAATGTCAGTTTTTTCGACTTGCATGGTATCGCTTTGCCCGCTAGTTTAATATTGCAGTGCCAATAAAGTGACGACGCTGGGCCGATGCAGTGCCAATAACGTATGCCAACGCTGAGCCGACGTGAGGGGTCGATGCAGGGCCGATACAGGGCCATTGAAGTTTGCCAACGCGCAATGACGCCTATACGATGAGCAAAACTTCATCGCCCGATGAAGTTTGCCGACGCCGGGCCGATATTGCACACGACGCCGGGCCGATGTCGGGCCGATGATGGCATGCTACCTGGGTTACCGGATCGCAACCCTAGGCAGTGTAGCCTGCCCACCATGGAGCTATTATCGCACTATAGTGCACCCTCTGTCCCGCTTATATCGCTGCTTGTCTCACGCCGAAAGTGCTCTCCATCGGCACTTCTTTGGAGGCAAACAACCCAATCCGATCCTTAGGGTTAGGGTCTGGTACCCTTCCAATCCCAATTGCGTAGATCGATGCGCATGCTGTTGATCACTGGATTGTCTGCTCCAGACTCGATTATTTACAGACCGCCGCCATATAGCTGGAATATTGCTGAGTGTGGCGTAAAACTAAACTCACTCACTCACTCACTCCAAGTTGTTGAGTGGTACTGAGCACTTCACAGGATGTGGAACTGTTTCTGGGTTGATTACAGCACAGGGGGAACTTGTGGGGGGGATTGAGCAACAAGAAATGGATTTACAGGAGGTCAAAAGAATGCTTTGAGAGGCTCCTGAATGATCAACCAATATCTGAATTCACCTGAAACATTTAAAGACCCGTGAAGGTCCGGGTTAGAATGAACCTTCAGTAACCCATGCTTGTCGCAAGAGGCGACCAACGGGATCGGGTGGTCAGGCTCACTGGCTTGGTTGATACATGTCATCGACTCCCAGTTGCGCAGGTGGATGCTGATGCTGTTATCACTGGATTGTCTGGTCCAGACTCGATTATTTACAAACCGCCGCCATATAACTGGAATATTGCTGAGTGTGGCGTAAAACTAAACTCACTCACTTTAACACTTAAACACGGAAGGTCAAGTTTTATGCATGTCATTATCCACTATTTTTAAACCGAACTATCTGTATCTAATAGGGCTTTATAAGTGCTGTTTTCATGTGTTGTAATTCAATAATGATCTTGTGTGGAGGGACAAATAGAATGCACAACAGCCTAGTTTCCACTGTGATTCCACCATCTGTATCTAGTAGGGCTCTGTTAGTGATGTTCTAATTTCTCACAACTGATATTGTTCTGCTAGTCAGTTATAGTTTTTTGTTTCCAGAGTATGACAAGATCCCATGTAAGGTTGCAGGCCAAATTCCACGAGGCCATGGCGAGGGAGAGCTTGACCTTGCCCGTCACTTCTCTGCCTCAACTTTGGCTGGAAATCCACTGTCTCTGCCTCCACTCTGGCTGCAGAGGAAATCCCACTGTCGGCTGCATATGCAGAGGAACACAGATCTTTTGGGCTGCAGAGGTTGAAGCAATGGCATCTTGCAGGATGGTCTCCTCTGTAACAAACAGAGGAAGAGGAATCTGCAGATCTGGTTTTAAAATTGCAAGTGACAGTTGACATGTAAAATCACTTGCCCTATCATTTTTCCACATACCGTATTTGTTTCTGCTCTTGAATGAATCCTCTGTAAACAAACAGAAAGTGAAGTAGTGTGTTGTGATCTTTTTATTTCTTAACAATGGTGAGGTGAGGTGAGGTACAAATGGGGTTGAGTATCACCTTCAAGACTATGTGATATATATTGCAATGTACATGGTGGCTTGTTTCATATGTATTAGTCTGGAGTAATCCCTGTGAAGATCCAGGTTAGAATTGCAATACTTCAGGAACACATGCTTGTCGTAAGAGGCAACTACAGGGTTGGAAATAACCAATTGCCCAACGTCCGAGTCCAGTGTTTTTTTCTGTCGGGCAAGCAAATTTGTATATCACACTGTACCGGTGTCCAGTTCACTTTCAAATGTTAATAGTGTTGTTTATTTAAAAAATCAAAAAGAAAACAGCCGGTATAGTTGAAAAATGATCAGGGCAAGTGATTTTACATGTGCCACTGTACCGGGTACACTATCAGTTTTAAAGTTATTTCCACCCCTGAACTAGTAGGAGCAGATGGTCAGGCTCGCTGACTTGGCTGACATGTCATTCAATCCCAGTTCCGTAGATCGATGCTTTTGCTGTTGATCACTGGATTGTCTGATCCAGACTCAATTATTTACAGACTGCCCCAAATATAGCTGGAATATTGCTGAGTGTGGCGTTAAACAACAAACTGTAGAGACTTGCTTTATGTCCTAAATGACATGCATTTGGTGGGACCAGGTTAATAGACACTTGTGACGAAGATTTCAATCTTATGCCTTCCAACATTGTTTGTGTACTCATTATTGCTGGACTAGGGCTATAGAAATAGAAAAGGAAGTTTTCTTCTTGGGAATTAGTGGCCAATATGTGTGGATGGCTATACAATATATGCTCAATATCAAATCATGAAGTGATATGAAGAAAATTTTCCTTAATTACACAGGCGTTGCCATAGGAACTGGTATGGTTGACCTTGAGGAAGTCACAATGACGGGGATGGTTCTCCGTGATCGGGGATACAAGCGTGTCAGCCCGCACTTTGTGCCCAAGATTCTTGTAAACATGCCAGCTGGTCATGTCAGTATCAGGTGTAAGCTGAAGGTATGTTTTTAAATTCACAGGTCACTAGTAAAGGCCACCTAAAGTCATCCCATCAGATGACTGTTTCATTACAGCCGATCAATCATCGAAAAAGATTGGTTAGCATCATTTTTCAGATTTTTCTATTCGGGTTGTTATTGCAGATAAGTATAACATGATGCAACTTGCTACTTTAATGTGATAACTAATATATCATGAAGAAAACTTCCTGGAGTCTTCAAGAAATATTCAGTCATAACTTTTCAGTTAGTCAAGTGAGTTTTCTAACAATTAAACACGTTTTCAGGCCCTGACAACTCAAAGATATGTTCTGTCATCAAGTGTTTCAAAGACCAAACCAGTAGTTCCAAAATCATTTGTGTTCGATTTTGAGAAAATGTGATCGATTGCTTGGTCGTTTGGTCCCTGCGACCAATCCTCGATTATTTCAATTAATCGGAACACCACTACGCAGAAGGCCCGGGTTCTATTTCCCACATGGGTACAATGTGTGAAGCCCATTTCCGGGTATCCTCCGCCGTGATATTGCTGGAATATTGCTAAAAGCGGTGTAAAACCATACTCACTCTTATGAAAATTAGGTTTAGGGGTTCCCAAGTTAAACCAACTGTAGTAGAACCATGGATTCCAGGTCTTAAACTGATAGGCAGCACATTTGTTGTCATATGTGGCAATTATTGGATTGGGGTCCCAATCCACAACACGTTTGTAATGTTACGACCTGTTGTAACTCTATAGTTTATCATAGGCTTATGAACAACGCATCAAAGATATAGCCTACCAGACTTGGCAGAATGATATTTGCAGCTCAACGTTTCTCAGCCACTATTCACAATTTAAATATGACCTTCACTTGGAACCGTACATCACTGAATTGAAAAACAAATACTTAATACGTGCGTACTGCAAATTTAGAATTTCACATAACAATCTGAACATAAACAAATTTAGATGTAAAAAAGATATCCCCATAACAGGATATTTGTGCACTGTATGTAATGCATTGGAAGTTGAAGACGAGAATCATGTCTTTTTTTTATTGTAAATATTACGAATGTTGGCAAGAAAAATATTTGGTACAACTTCGAAAAGTGTATAAAGGTCCACTAACTTTAGAATCTATTTTCAAATCAAGAAACAGTCAGGTAATATATTTCACTGCTTTATTTCTGCATAATGTATTCCAAACAAGAGCTGGATCCATTTGACCACTGTACTTGATTTATACAACTGTATAACTGTATTATAGGCCACTAGGCCGATATTACGTAAATAAACTGTCTGTCTGTCTGTCTGAATGTCGTAGTGCTACGAACATTTTGTGGATCGGAACACAGGTGCTGAAGCTTGCATAAAATCAACTTCAACAACATGGAACCTTGATTGTAATCATCATTATATCAGTCACTTGATTGTCTGGTCCAGACTTGGGTTTTAACACACAACCATCATTTTGTTTGAATGTTACTGAGTGCTGTGTTCAGCACCAAACTAATAATATTATGATATTTGTACATTTTTTAGGGCCCAAACCATGCAGTATCCACGGCTTGCACAACAGGCCTGCATGCTATCGGAGACGCCTCTCGCTTCATCCTTCATGGAGATGCTGATGTCATGGTAGCGGGTAGCACTGAGGCCTGTGTAGGACCAGTTGCCATCGCAGGCTTTGCAAGGATGAGAGCTCTGAGTACAAAATTTAACGATAACCCAAACAAGGCCTCTCGACCTTTTGACAAGGACCGTGATGGGTTTGTGATGTCGGAAGGATCAGGGATTGTTGTGTTGGAGGAACTTGAACATGCAAAGTCTCGGGGTGCCCCGATACTGGCTGAGGTCCTAGGGTATGGGCTCTCGGGGGACGGGTACCACATCACCACCCCCAGTGAGGATGGGTCCGGAGCTGAGAGGTGCATGAAAGCAGCCATTAAAGATGCTGGTCTGATTCCCAAGGATGTAGGCTACATCAATGCCCATGCCACATCAACCCCTATTGGTGATGCTGTGGAGAGGAAAGCAATTGAAACAACATTCAAGAGAGATAACTCTACCGTGCTTGTGTCTTCAACAAAGGGTGCTGTGGGACATCTGTTAGGTGCAGCTGGGAGCGTGGAGGCAGTGTTTACTGTGCTAGCTTGTCAGACTGGGTGTATACCCCCAACCATTAACCTTGACACACCTGATGAAGGATGTGACCTTGACCTTGTGGCTAACAGAAGTGTCACCTGGACAGGATATGGAGGCAGGAGAGTAGCTCTCACAAACTCATTCGGGTTTGGTGGAACAAATGGGAGTCTTTGTATTGCAGAGTTTGTGAAATGATTGATTAAAAAAAGAAACAAACATACATTCGTCTTTGTTGTTCTAACCAAGGTGTTCTGAAAGAGTTCATCAACAAATCACTATTCAAAGTAGATTGAATCATGTCTATAAATTGGTCTACTATTCACTATTCTACATACAGTACATTATATTTTGTATTGGTCTACTTTTCACTATTTTACATACAGTACATCATATTGGGTGTTGGTTCACTATTCTACATACAGTTCATCATATTGGGTGTTGGTTCACTATTCTACATACAGTTCATCATATTGGGTGTTGGTTCACTATTCTACATACAGTTCATCATATTGGGTGTTGGTTCACTATTCTCATACAGTATCATATTGGGTTCATCATATTGGGTGTTGGTTCACTATTCTACATACATACACTATTCTACATACAGTTCATCATATTGGGTGTTGGTTCACTATTCTACATACAGTACATATTGGGTGTTGGTTCATATCTACATACAGTTCATCATATTGGGTGTTGGTTCACTATTCTACATACAGTTCATCATATTGGGTGTTGGTTCACTATTCTACATACAGTTCATCATATTGGGTGTTGGTTCACTATTCTACATACAGTTCATCATATTGGGTGTTGGTTCACTATTCTACATACAGTTCATCATATTGGGTGTTGGTTCACTATTCTATTCTATTCATACAGGGTGTTGGTTCACTATCATACATACAGTACATCATATTGGGTGTTGGTTCACTATTCTACATACAGTTCATCATATTGGGTGTTGGTTCACTATTCTACATACAGTTCATCATATTGGGTGTTGGTTCACTATTCTACATACAGTTCATCATATTGGGTGTTGGTTCACTATTCTACATACAGTTCATCATATTGGGTGTTGGTTCACTATTCTACATACAGTTCATCATATTGGGTGTTGGTTCACTATTCTACATACAGTACATCATATTGGGTGTTGGTTCACTATTCTACATACAGTTCATCATATTGGGTGTTGGTTCACTATTCTACATACAGTTCATCATATTGGTGTTGGTTGGTTCACTATTCTACATACAGTTCATCATATTGGGTGTTGTTGGTATTCTACATACAGTTCATCATATTGGGTGTTGGTTCACTATTCTACATACAGTTCATCATATTGGGTGTTGGTCTACTATTCACTATTCTACATACAGTTCATCATATTGGGTGTTGGTTCACTATTCTACATACAGTTCATCATATTGGGTGTTGGTTTCACTATTCATCATATTGGGTGTTGGTTCACATTCTACAGTTCATCATATTGGGTGTTGGTTCACTATTCTACATACAGTTCATCATATTGGGTGTTGGGTCACTATTCTACATACAGTTCATCATATTGGGTGTTGGTTCACTATTCTACATACAGTCATCATATTGGGTGTTGGTTCACTATTCTACATACAGTTCATCATATTGGGTGTTGGTTCACTATTCTACATACAGTTCATCATATTGGGTGTTGGTCTACTATTCACTATTCTACATACAGTTCATCATATTGGGTGGGTGTTATTCACTATTCTACATACAGTTCATCATATTGGGTGTTGGTCCACTATTCTACATACAGTTCATCATATTGGGTGTTGGTCTACTATTCACTATTCTACATACAGTTCATCATATTGGGTGTTGGTTCACTATTCTACATACAGTTCATCATATTGGGTGTTGGTCTACTATTCACTATTCTACATACAGTTCATCATATTGGGTGTTGGTCTACTATTCACTATTCTACATACAGTTCATCATATTGGGTGTTGGTCTACTATTCACTATTCTACATACAGTTCATCATATTGGGTGTTGGTCTACTATTCACTATTCTACATACAGTTCATCATATTGGGTGTTGGTTCACTATTCTACATACAGTTCATCATATTGGGTGTTGGTCTATATTCACTATTCTACATACAGTTCATCATTGGTTCACTGTTGGTTCACTATTCTACATACAGTTCATCAGTTTGGTCTACTATTCATTCACATACAGTATCATATTGGTGTTGGTCTACTATTCACTATTCTACATACAGTTCATCATCATATGGGTGTTGGTCTACTATTCACTATTCTACATACAGTTCATCATATTGGGTGTTGGTCTACTATTCACTATTCTACATACAGTTCATCATATTGGGTGTTGGTCTACTATTCACTATTCTACATACAGTTCATCATATTGTTGATCACTATTCTACATACAGTTCATCATATTGGGTGTTGGTCTACTATTCACTATTCTACATACAGTTCATCATATTGGGTGTTGGTCTACTATTCACTATTCTACATACAGTTCATCATATTGGGTGTTGGTCTACTATTCACTATTCTACATACAGTTCATCATATTGGGTGTTGGTTCACTATTCTACATATTCACATATTGTTCATCATATTGGGTGTTGGTTCACTATTCTACATACAGTTCATCATATTGGGTGTTGGTCTACTATTCACTATTCTACATACAGTTCATCATATTGGGTGTTGGTCTACTATTCACTATTCTACATACAGTTCATCATATTGGGTGTTGGTTCACTATTCTACATACAGTTCATCATATTGGGTTCACTATTCTACATACAGTTCATCATATTGGGTGTTGGTCTTCACTATTCACTATTCTACATACAGTTCATCATATTTGGTTGTTGGTTCACTATTCTACATACAGTTCATCATATTGGGTGTTGGTTCACATATTGGGTGTTGGTCTACTATTCACTATTCTACATACAGTTCATCATATTGGGTGTTGGTCTACTATTCACTATTCTACATACAGTTCATCATATTGGGTGTTGGTCTACTATTCACTATTCTACATACAGTTCATCATATTGGGTGTTGGTTCACTATTCTACTACAGTTCATATTGGGTGTTGGTCTACTATTCACTATTCTACATACAGTTCATCATATTGGGTGTTGGTCTACTATTCACTATTCTACATACAGTTCATCATATTGGGTGTTGGTCTACTATTCACTATTCTACATACAGTTCATCATATTGGGTTGGTCTACTATTCACTATTCTACATACAGTTCATCATATTGGGTGTTGGTCTACTATTCACTATTCTACATACAGTTCATCATATTGGGTGTTGGTCTACTATTCACTATTCTACATACAGTTCATCATATTGGGTGTTGGTCTACTATTCACTATTCTACAGTTCATCATATTGGGTGTTGGTCTACTATTCACTATTCTACATACAGTTCATCATATTGGGTGTTGGTTCTATTCTATTCTACATACAGTTCATCATATTGGGTGTTGGTTCACACTATTCTACATACAGTTCATCATATTGGGTGTTGGTTCACTATTCTACATATTCATCATACAGGGTCATTCATATTCTACATACAGTTCATCATATTGGGTGTTGGTCTACTATTCACTATTCTACATACAGTTCATCATATTGGGTGTTGGGTCTACTATTCACTATTCTACATACAGTTCATCATATTGGGTGTTGGTCTCTACTCATTCTACATACAGTTCATCATATTGGGTGTTGGTTCATCATATTGGGTGTTGGTTCACTATTCTACATACTATTCTACATACAGTTCATCATATTGGGTGTTGGTCTACTATTCACTATTCTACATACAGTTCATCATATTGGGTGTTGGTTCACTATTCTACATACAGTTCATCATATTGGGTGTTGGTTCACTATTCTACATACAGTTCATCATATTGGGTGTTGGTTCACTATTCTACATACAGTTCATCATATTGGGTGTTGGTTCACTATTCTACATACAGTTCATCATATTGGGTGTTGGTCTACTATTCTACATACAGTTCATCATATTGGGTGTTGGTTCACTATTCTACATACAGTACATCATATTGGGTGTTGGGTCACTATTCTACATACAGTTCATCATATTGGGTGTTGGTTCACTATTCTACATACAGCATATTCATCATATTGGGTGTTGGTTCACTATTCTACATACAGTTCATCATATTGGGTGTTGGTTCACTATTCTACATACAGTTCATCATATTGGGTGTTGGTTCACTATTCTACATACAGTACATCATATTTGGTTGACTGATATTAGGTTTTTGGGATGGCCTAAAAGTCGGGCCGGGCCGGACCAAGGCGGGTCAGATATATTATTGGCTAATGAACCCATTAACGAAAACCATGCCTACAATTAATTAATGCCACATACACTCGTAGGTTTTGTAAATCACGGTGGGCGTAAGTTTGATAAATGAAAGGTAGGCGTTAAAGGCATTTCGTTGTTTTTAATGTTTAAATCCCAGAAAAGGACATGTGCTTACTCTATTTTTTTTTCAGAAAAGATTCTGGCCTCCTGTGAGGAGGTTTTTAAAACCTCTCAGGCAACAAAAGTAGTTTGTAGAATTGACGAAGAGGCAAAACCTTCTGCTCATACTTAAATTATTGCACTTAACTGAAATATCACAAGTCATATACCCCCAGGTCACGACGAGGCCAGGCAACTGGGGTCGAGAGTAGGTGGTTGGGTGACCGTGTTAGACTGCACGGCTTCTGACAGTTTCTAGGGCGCAGGTCCTCCTCAGGCAAATGCGTCTGAAGTATGCCTCTGTTCACTAAGCACGTAATGGCTACCCAGGAAAATGTGATTATGTGACCGTTCACCTTTAAGCAATCACATTCAGTTTACGCTATACACCGTCCAGGGAGCCAACTGTTCCTCAGTACAAGGGTACTGGTTGTGCACTTTGAGCTTAATATCCACGGCCTAGATTTTCGAAGCTCTCTTACCTAAGATAGTCGTAAGTGCCATACATTAACATTAACTTCCGACTATCTTAGCGCTGGGAGAGCTTCGAAAATCTAGGCCCTGCACAGAAAAGTGCAACTCACGTGGACTATTATTATAACTGCATGAAATGAGAAACTTGCTGATCCAGTAATACGTGTATGGTTTGTTGTTCTGTTT